ATTAGTGAACAACCAGGAGAAGTCTGCAAACCTCGTCAGATTCCGTTACTCTACATCTAGCCTCGGCACCGGTTTACTTATTAGAAAAACTTGCCGCTTAAAAGAAGTTACCAAAATTGCGTCGTTCGAAGCATGTATAGAATTTTCAGTGCAAATTAAGTTGTCCTTGTTTGAAGAAAATCGGATAAACAGCTTCACACTTTGAAATATTTGAATGATAAACATTCTTACAGGCGTCGTCATGGGCAACGCCGTTGGTAATTCCAATGGTGGACTTCGTCATACAGACGAGGCTAGATGTAGGGTACTGGAATCTGCTGAGGTTTGCCGAGTGCAAACAGGAGCCCACAATCTCAGCATATCAACAATGACACGCCTTCTTTTGGAGTTACTGACCTTTCTTAAGTGTGAATCAGTTTGGTTCGGTTCTGTACTTTTTGGTCATCTTTTCTTTGTTGGATAGATTGTGACAAGTGTTGATCTTCAAAAAAGAAAAATTTTACAGCTCTCTTCTTAGAGATAAACTAGTGATGAGGTATCAGATGTTCATATCCCAAAGCTGTCGATCGGGTGGGATGAAAAACGAGATACCGTGTATATATTGGCTTGCACGTACAAGAACCCATGAAAGTTGGAATTCGATATAACAGAAGACCATAGTGTCCCTTGCCAGGCATATCACATTATATGGTGTATGCCGGTCGTAATTAGCATAGTCAGGGCAGAACAGTAAGACGTTAAACCCCATTTTATTTCTTTTCCTAGATAAGGTTTATAATCTGTGTTTTTATCATAGGCGCGTAACAAGGCCTATCTTGATCTTACAGGCTGATATGACCATATACCATTATAAGAACCTACAAAAAACAGATTTGGTTTCCACAGTTGCTCAAACATCTAACCTTCACTAAAACCCTATAATCAAATAAACGGAGTTTTGAAAATAAATGAAACAAAATTACTTATTATTAAACGGTACACGGTATACCGTTATAGCCAATAGAGACTTTTGGCAAGCGTAATTTCCTGGTCCGTATCGCGTATCCGTATGGATTTTGCGTGTGACGTCATCAATGTCTGTGTATTTCTCATACGTGATACGGCACACGGATACGACAGCACGTAAGGAACGGCTTTCATACGGAAATGGTCCGTATAACACTGTCGTCTTTTTACCGTCTTTTTTGCTACTTTTAGACGCTGAAATGTTGCATCATAGCGTTTTTATGAATCTATGTGTATCCTGGAACACGAAGGTGTATATTTGATGTGATTTTAACAGTGATAACGACTGCAATGTAATCATTATTTTTGATGGGTTTTTCTCGGAATTTTCATTTTTTTCCCGCCTGTCTGCATACTGGTTGATCTATGGGCTAAACTTTCTGAAATGATACATTAGTGAAACCAAAAATTGCTAAAATCTGCCAAAACTCTAAAACTACATTGACGCAACGTATCACGTATACGATACGGATACGGGATACGGATGGGGAAGATCCGCTTGCCAAAAGTCCCTATTCTAACCTACGAGCGTATCCCTGTCGAAGTCAGGGTTATCGCAAACAAATTATGAAGAATCTTTGATCTCTGCCTGGTCTCCAATTCTAATTATCCGTAACGCAATACACGCCTGTAAGTATTTATAGACAATAACTATTTCGGAATTTTAATCCAAAGCAATTATAAATGTTTGGTCAACTGTTCCAAACTTCTCGCCGTTGTAATCCTGTAAAAATGAAAGGAAAATTGTGAGTAATCTCCCTTCCTATATTCTTAGAACGAGGAAAAGAAATGAAATGAAATGAAATGGGGTTTAACGTCCTACTGTTCTGCTCCTAACCTGGGCTAATGAAGACGGGCATACGCCATACAGTGTGCTATGAGGGAAATTTTGCCCGGACAGCGGCACTACGGCCTACTCTTATATCGAATTCCAACTGCCAAGGGATCTTTTACGTGCACGCCAATGTGTACACAGGACCTCGGTTTTTCTTCCCATCCGAACGACTAGACAACTTTCCTTGTCAGCCCCTCCGTCCTGCATCACTGACAAGGGAGAACCACGCCGGAAAATCTGAATGAACTTTCTCGGCCAATGCAGGGATCGAACAAACGAGGAAAAGAGAGGTCGAGAGAGAGAGAGAGAGGGAGAGAGAGAGAGAGAGTGTGTGTGTGTGTGTGTGGGGGGGGGGTAACATGGTTCAATTGTTTATTTCAATAATTCGCTTGCGCGTAGGGTTCTTTAGCATTGGGAGGAAACCGGAGGACGCGGAGAAAACCCACGAGGTTGGACAGGCGACCCCACTCCTTGTCACGTAAAACCACGTCAGTTGACTCAATGACAGACCTTATGATATAGTGCGCACGTGCTAACCATTCGGCCATCCAGCCCTCACGAGGAAACTACCTTTAGGAACTAATACATTAAATCATATTATAATCATTGTAAAGCGTCATTGGACATTTTTGAGGGTTAAAACTACTCACAGCCAGGGCGGTTGTTGGGTAGAATAACAGACCGACAGTTGGTAGTGAGCTTTTGGTAACAAAACTTACGGTTTTAGTTGTGATACAGGGAGCTAATGATTGAGTAAGACGTTAGCTCTCTAACCTGGTGGTTCGGTGTTCGATCCGTGTGTTGACCGAGAAAATTCATCAGAATTTTCCGGATAGGTTCCTCCTTGTCAGGGTCTGACAAAGGACAAAGTATAGTCGTGCGGATGGGACGAAAACAGGGTCCCATGTAGACATTGTCGTGCATGTAAAAGAACCCTTGGCAGTTGGAATTCGATATACGAGAAGACCGTAGCGCCGCTATCCGTGTAAATTTTCCCTGAGAGCACAAGGCATGGCGTATGCCCGTCGGAACAGATCAGTAGGACGTTAAACCCTATTTCAGTTCATTTATTTGTGTTATAATAATTGTTATCTGAAAGAGTATTTGTAATAACAGTCACACTTTCACTTTTATCGCACCCTAAAACTCGTCGAACAATATATCAACGGGTGATCTAAGAGGATTTAGGCTTACAGACGAAAAGTATTTAATTCCAGTAAAAGTGGAAGTCAGGTCCTCTTTGAGAGAGGGAGGTGGGGCGCGGCTTTAATATAGCTTGTACGTACGTAACAAGGAGTCGGGTTGTCCAACCTTGAGCGATATGTTAGTCCCGAAATGAAATAGTGTGTGTCGAGTAGACGTTAAACCCCAACCTCTCTCTGGTATGTGGCTAAAACGGAAGAAAAAACCAACATTGAATTATATCACTCACTCATGTGCGATAATATCGTTTGGGTTTATTTGGGGTTCGATCTATAAACTTGCAAATTTTGGAATCCGGTAAATGCATTTTGGTTAAAATTCCACGTAAAGCCACGTATTCTTAACTGTAGGAGTAAATTGCCGAGCAATAGCCAATTTTGTATGAGTCACTTTTTAAGATCTTCTGCATATGATAATAAAACATTAATTCAGTGAAGATAATTTTTTAAATATAAAATTCATAATTCACATTCGCTGATTTCTGTGAGACCTTAAGGCAGGGTTGTTTTTGTCTGTGCCGGGTCTTGGGTTGAGATTTGGGAAAGGGGATTGTTATCGTTGGGCATTAGTGACTAAGTTTCTATCGTGATTATTTGAATAGAATAATATATGTATTATCATGGTGATGTTTGAAGGGTTTGCATGGGCGTCCTTGGAAATGTTTGACTGGGGGGGGGGGGTGGGGGTGGTTGGTGCCCAAAAAATGTAGTTAGGTTCTTAGTATGTTACATAATAATAATAAATTCGCTGTTAAATTGGACACATTTAAGAACACAATATTTTTTTTATACAACTTTTACAAAGTACAATAAAATTGTGTGCCCAAATTTTCCAAGGATTTGCTGCCCAAAATGGGGGGGGGGGCTTCCTCTAAGCCCCCCCCCCCCCCTAGCTCGTACACCTATGAGGGTTTGTGATTACGCAACTATCTATTGAGTAACTTATCTAAACTATACATGTACTCAGTAGCAACGTTTAAAACTGAAAGATAATAATCGTCTAGTGTTACCTTCAGGGTTGTTTTTATTTTAATGCGATTAAAAGAAATTCTTTGCGGCAGTGAGAAGACTTCGTAGGAACATTTCGTCATTATTTTGTAATTCGAGTGCGCTTATCACAACTTGTTGTTTACCTTTTACGCAGTCTTCTTCTTTCCAAATACCTATTCAGAAGGAGCTTTTAATTAAAACATCTTAAAGATACATTCTCACGACAGTATTTATAAGGTAGTTATTTCTAATATAAGTATGGCAAATTTTGTATATATGGAAAGTATAGACGCCCAATCTTACCAGAAAAATACTGGATTACTCGAAAAACACCCATTGGGCAGCGGTTGTTATTTCTTGATCGAATAGTTAGGCGGTTTGGGGAATATTGAGGGGTGTAAGCGTATAACAGGTATCTGTAAAGTTTTATATGTTCTAATTTGAAAAGCAGACACTGAACTGACAGACAAAGTAATGTTTCCTATGAAATTTGTAGGAACAGTCAGCTGTGGTCAAGAGGCAAGCCTAGAGTATGGCAGGCACAGGTGGACGAAATCACGGAAGGCTAAGTCCATATTCCCTTCTGTAGATTGTAACCGCGTGCACCTTTAAAATAACAGACCTTTATTCTCCTGAATTCCATTATCAAGACATGCAAGACTCATCAATATTTTACGACCTTTGGAACTCAAATATGAGTTTTAATTTTTACGCCTATCCTCGATTTGACATGCAGCATAACGTCACTCACTAAATCTGACAATCATTACTCAATTATTTGCCAACTATTACACTACAGATTTGATTGAAAACAATGACCTTATCTTTAGTATAAATATAAAATCGTCATTTTACCACCGATAATCGACAGCTGTTAATTCCCATTGATATTTGGGTGTCACGTGATTCCTGTTGTATACCTATAAGTAATAGATATAGATATATATGTATACGCGCTTACCTTCTGCTCCTAAACAGGATAATATTGGACAAGGTCCGGAATATTAACAACAGGAATTACACTTTAACATTTCGAGGTAAGTTTTTCAACGCTATAAATTTTAACTTTCAAAAAAGGAATAGATGTAATTATTTTCATATTTCAAAATAGCCCTAAACTCTGCTCATTACGAAAAATCCAAGAACTGTCCTATTTTGATTCGGCGTAAATTTTTGAAAACCGTTATAGGCTATAGTACATACGGCTAGTGTTGAATCTCTTAAAGTCTATATCTCAGCAACGGGTTGAAAGATCTGCTTTAAATATTGAAGCCACTGTCGCTCAGTTAGTAAGAACTAACTCACTAACGGAGAGTTGGCCGAGAAAGTTCTTCTTGTGAGTGGTGGTGCAACGTCTAGTTCTTCGGGTAGAACGAAAAACCAAGACCCTGCGTTGGCGTATACGTATAAGAACCATTGGCAGCTGGAATCTATGAAGATGAGACAGAAACAGTGCTATCCGTCAAAATATCCCCCATAGCACTCTTCCCGAAGAGTACAGAATGTCGGGACCTTATTAAACTCATTTCATTTCTGTCCCATATTTTGCATGTCATGTATTTTGAATAGTAAAGTCAATTATTTCTTAAAGATGGTATAATTTATGAGTTGTGCCGTTTTAGTATATCGTGATGATAATAATTTACTCTCTCTGGCACATAATCGATACGATATCGATCCAACGATAGATCACCATAATCATAACAAAAATGATATTAAGAAGCCACTGTTTCGATAATTGAAGACCGGAGGCTGTTTTGTCATAAATGTTGCAAAATTGTAGCTTTCAGTAATATTTGAACTCGATCGCTTTTGAAATTTATCTGAAAGAAAAGAAAAGCATCTAAATAGCTTTTGGGATTGTCATTATGTAGGCTATTATAAACAATGTTATTTCTTTTACATAAGAACTTTTCACGGTTGAACGAACTTACAATAATAAATCAGCTTTGATCACAAACAGTGTAAATGCTATAAATAATGAAATAAAAATATTGAAAGAGTTTCATGGAGATTATATAGTTTTCAGGTAACCATTTGTTTCGCTTGGTATAGCCAGTGACGCGTCTCAGGGATATAAATATTCGCTTGGGATTTTGTATTTGTTTAACTGGCTTATCGAGTCGCCCCATCATTGCTTTTGTTCATATCCCCGAAACCTTCTTCGACTTGCATGACAACACTGTGACGAATTATATAAAACGTTTTCAAATATCGTTTGTTACTCCTTGATAACGTCTTAAAAGGTTTATGTATCGATGTTTTGGAACCTTAAAACAGACGAAAATGGGTCTAACAGCACATATTTATGTAATATGAGTGTATTAAGTGTGTTTTTATATTGAATTTTTAAAATATTTATTGCAATTTTTAATCAATCATGTTCGGTTAAATACACAAACAACGACAGTCGTTTATCCCTGCTTAGTCCATTCTACACCTTTTTTTAAAAGTGTTATTTTGTCGTTTGTAAATCATCCATTACTAATTACTTCCGCATTGTCTTGTAGGATATGTTTGTCAATGTTCATTACAAAAATGGTGCCCGAAATCATAAAAATACAAGACTCGTGTACTGATTTTAAAATGTTCATTAATGGGATCCCATATTTTCACGACAAGCTAACAACATTAATATCGATTGAAATGAGACAATACTGAATTCTAATTCGTGTATTTAATTTCAAATTTTATGGAAAATATAGAGTTAAGGATTTAGCACCCTTAAATGTAAACAGGTGCTTTTTTAGTAGTAATCTAAGTCTGGTTTTCAAAAGTTTATTTGAGAACATTTGGTAGGTATTCGTATACATTAAACTGCAAAGATATTCGTATACATTGAGTTGTATTAAATATCCTTAAGATATTATGTTTTACATTATGGACAGATTGCACATGATACGAGTTATAAGGATTCATAACAACTTTACGAATATCCAGAATAGAACAATGCCCTTTCGATGTTTTCTTATCTTTTAACCAACTTAACACATATTCGTTTTCTTAACCTATTTACTGTCGAATCAACTCATTTCAACAACACTCTTATCTGTATGAATTATTTCCGCAGGTAAAAATAAAGAGAGATGTCTAACGGAAAATCAATCAGCTATTGTGACTATTTAGAGGTGGGTCATTGCTAACATGTTTACGAAGTCACCTTCGTTTTACATGCGCAATTTCTAAGGTTTTTACGCACGTAACAATCACCCGAGTTCAACATTTGGGTTAGTTAAACTATAAGACTCGTTCGCTGTATGTCAATTGGTGGGGTTTCGATTCCCCGTTTGTACATGACAAGGAGTAGGGTCGCCTGTCAAACCTCGTGGGTTTTCTCCGGGTCCTCCGCTTTCCTCCCACTACTAAAAAAGACCCCTACGTGCAAGCGAATTATTGAAATAAAATTGAAGCATGTGTTAGTCCCGAAATGACATAGTTTGTGTCGAGTGGACGTTACCCCCTCTCTCTCTCTCTCTCCCTCCCCCATCTCTCTCTCTCTCTCTCTCTATCTTTCGCTGTATAATTTGTGATACAGGCAATTGTAGTAGTTTACAGATCCTGATATTAAAAATGCCTTATGTAAGATCTAAATCTACCTTCTTTAGGTCTTTTTTCTGGCTTTAAATGCTATATGGATTATAAATTAGACATTTATTCATATGACAAGGCTATAATCTACTATCTAGAGCATCGTGTGGCAGAGATTTAAATGGATTTGAACACGCACGAGTTTTAAAAATTTAATGATAAAATGGATAATCGAATATAATTTGAATATAATTTTCAATATAACCATTTTTCATTATCTATTATTGAACTATCATAGCAAGAACGACCAGTTCTTTATCTAACTCTTGCATAACGCACCTTTAAGCCCTATTGTCCAGGACTAAGGCTCGACATATTATTCAATTTATGTACATTTTGGTCTTAAATTTGCATGCTCCCTTGAACAATATGATACTGGGTATGTCTCCTTTAATATGATGTGGACATAATTGTGAGGTATTAGTTGTTAGATAATAGAAATATAATAGTATTAATCTACTGAACCTGCTGTAAAACCCACGGTCTTGAATACCTAGGTCTAAATAAGATCATTATCTATTTATTAGAAATAGATGTGGACTTTGCCCGTTCACCACCTGCCATCATTTCGTGGCGCTCCATCCATATTTCCAAAAGTTTTACAATTAGGTTTCCGAAGGGTGGCACCTGGATAACATTTATAAAGTGGGATGGGATGGGGGGGGTCATCCCTAAACCCATTGAAACTGTATATATTAAGAAAATAACTAATTTACATTTTCAAATAGTTGCACAGTTTGCTGAATGCCCAGTCGATGACGTCATCCATCCATGATGAACATCTGTTTATCATCACTCATCAAGGTGAGTACAGCATCAGGTGGTTTAGAAAGATCAACCAGTGGGGCAAATATGTGAATATTGGCACCACCGGATTTCCATAATTAACAGTATGAGTTTTTGTCGATGTAAAAATAACTGATTTTTTGTTTTATTGTGTAGGAACACATTTAAAACTGATTTTTGTGTTATTGTTTAGGAACACAATTAATTTTTATAAATTCTTTGAAATATAAATAATTGTATACATTAAGACATAATTGGCCATAAAAATGATGCGGTTGATGAAATTAGAATTTTAATATGGATTGACAGCGGAGTATTAAAATGATGTTTCACAGAAATATGTCTAACTTCGTATACTTGTAACTACCTAGGCACATTATTGATTGTACGTAAATATCATTATATATTTATGTGGGGTGGCCGTATGGTCTATTGCGTGCGCTTTTGATCATAAGGTCTGTCATTAAGTCAATTTGCGTGGTACCATTTCTCATCATGACAAGGAGTAGCGACGTCTGTCCAACCTCTTGGGTTTTCTGGGTTCCTCCAGTTTCCCCCCACGTCTAAAGACCCCAACGCGCAAGCGAATAATTGAAATAAAATTTAACCAGATGTTAGTCCTGAAATGATAAAGTTTGTGCCGAATGAACCTTAAACCCCATTCACCCTCTTTCTATATGTATTGTTTATTTATTTACATTTTTATTACAGCTTATGAATTGTGGTTTAAACAAATTTTGTTTGAAATTGATTCGGTACGAGAAGTTTTCAAAGCACCGGTAAGACAATACACATTTCCTTCTTTTAGTTGTTTAGATTTAAAGGTTTATTGACACGCCCATCTTCCTAAATTTCCATACAAAGACAAGGGTATATCTCATGGTATTAAAATTTATTTTTATTTCGTTACGATTTTATGCTTTCTCCTTCCAACAACATCCGTTTTTGTCTAAATAATCCCACAAAGTTCTATTTAACCTTGAATGTCCCCAAATTTTATAATAATTACATCATTTACAATAAAATAGTACATATTTTTTTACTTTCGAGTTATCAAAATGATCTGAGGTGAAATTTCGCTCGATAGCTATAGGTAACAGTTTGTTAAGATATAGGGGAAACATTTGACTTGTTCTCTCTTTAAAAGTAAACTAGGTGCCTATCCCCCCTCTCCCCACCCCCCCCCCCCCCCCAAAAAAAAAATACAAACAAAAAACCGCTTGACGCGGTCTCTACCCTGGACCGTCTGCTGCTAAAATTGTGGACACGCCCCAGTAAACCCACAAATAAAACACATATATCAGTTTTAGGCCACACAAATTTAAAACGGTGCAGTGTTAAATTCTCTGTCCTCATGTTAGAAATATACATACTTCCTGTTTCGAAATTAGAGCCGCGTTTCTCATTGGCTGTGTATAGTACACAAGTAAGGACGCGGTACAATGATAAAACTTTTCGTAAAGTAAAATTCAGCCCGTTAAAATATGAAATACGAAAATAAAGCTAATGACGAATTGATGGTAATCAGATTGATTTGTCCTTCTATGTCCGACTTTCTTTATGTTTTTAGTAATGTTTAATATCAACGTTAAGAAAAAAGAACAACGATTAATACTGCATAAATGTTATCCTTTCTGAAAACCACTTCAATAGATCGCAAGCACTATCAATTTTATTCAAATATAAAGAACGTGAACTTTCATGTTCAAAGTCTCTTGAGAAGGACCACTTGTTTTAAATACAATCACTCAGAGATGGAGATTTATTTTGAAAATGTTGACATGTTTAAACAAGTGTAACGATAATATATTTTCTCTTTGCATATAGAAATAAAGTTTTATGATATTATTTACACAAAGCCATTTTTTTCAATATGATGCATTTAAACAATGTTATTGCAATTAAATATTTATGTTTTTGTCAATAAAGTTTAAAGGGGAAATTATATTTAATAAATTGACTTTATTTGTCAAGTTAAAACACTGGTTCCGAAATCCTCAAAATTTGTCATTCAACGTTTTCAGATAGTCTCTTAAAGGGGTGAGATATTACGTTCGACTCCTATCACTATAAGGAGCCGCGGTGGTTCAGTGAGCACATTGGCGTGCACGTAAAAGATCCATTGACAGTTGGAATTCGAATTAAGAGTAGGCCGTAGCTCACTGTATGGTGTATGCCCGTCTTCATTAGCTTAGTTTGGAACAGAACAGTAGGACGTAAACAACCCAATTCATTTCATTTCATTTTTGGCTCAATGAGTAAGTCGTTTACTCGCTAGAGTTTCTTTGTTCGATCCGGTGTTGGGCGAGAAAGTTCCACGGGATTTTCCGGCGTCATTTCCCCTTTTTAGTAGTGCAGGATGGAGGGCCTGAAAAAAATGGCTCTCTAGTAGTTCGAATGGGAAGAAAAATAGAGGTCCCATGTACACTTTGGAACTTGAAATAATAGTAGGCCATAGTGCCGCTGTCTGTGCAAAATTCCCCTCATAGCACACTGTACGTCCTTTTCCTGTCTTCATTAGCCCAGTCCGTGCAGAACATGAATGAATGAATGAAATGTGGTTTAATGACACGTCAGCACCAACCGGACTATTTATTGCGTTAAACATATGGTTATTTATTTCAGAGCGGCTATATTATATTACAGAAAAATATTTATATGCATAAATTAAAACAATATCACGGTAAATAAAATAAAAAATGAAATACATCTTCTATGCATATAAATATTTAAAAAACAAAAATGAAATGATGATATATATATACAATTAAAATTTATGATAAAAACCTGCCTCGTTTAAAAGGTCTAGAATGTTACAAAATAATTCCGGTTGGGCAAATAAATGATTTAATGTTTGGTAATGATGCAGAAAAGTTGGAAGTTAAACCCCATTTCACTCATATTTAACCTGTTCATATTGATCATCGTTATGTTCAGATACCGGGAAGCTGCCATCCGTTGTTAAGTTACCATTTTAGACCGATATTTATGGATAGAATTTAGAAGACGATGGTGCCGTAAAACCTATGGGCTGCTGTGTATGCTCTCAAAGTCTATATTCCTTTTTTATTCTTACATATTGTTACCTTAACTATAATAATTCATGTGATGCGATATATATATATATATATATTGATATTGTGGTCTTTGTACTTGGTAATAAGCATCGACAGTAACCACCCGTCCTCCAGATGAATATTAACGCATTCTAACCTCTTTTCTTTCAGCGCTTGGATGAAAGTAAAACATTATTAATTGTCAATCGTCTCAATCGAGTGGTGCTCATCTTAAAGGTATGACAGATCTCCGGACACTTGTTTTAATGTTTATAGAACAGCCTTTAATATTCTTTATTTTTGGAATTCCATGGACGAATACTGACGATATCTCTTTGATCGATAACTTAAAGCTGATTTGAACTATTAGAAAAGAGAATTTCGCGTTAGTAAAACCTTCAGTAGTCTTTTGGCAGACATTGTTAATGAGTACGGAACATCGATGAACTATAATGATACATATCTGAGTTGATTTGAGGTGGGTAGTGAGGATTCAGGGGTCAGTCCAAATATAATAATAATATTTCATTAGCTTTTTGGCGGACATTATTAATGGGTACGGAACATCGATGAACAAATCATACATCGTGTTGCTTTAAGGTGGGTTTCGGGGTGCAGAGTGTCCATAATTTACCCTGTTTATCCAAATATAACGATATTTCTCTTTAAATCGAGACGAGCCTCTTAAATATTAAATGCATACTATCTTTAAAAAGAATCTTGCCCGATCTAAACTTTTCTATAGATAATCGTTATTTCAAAATCTTGAGCGGCTCATTCAAATTATACGACTTCTTAAGGAGATACTTCATCGCTTTCACAATCGATTGCTATTGTTTTATTTTCATTCACTATAAGGGAATATTATGTCAAGCACAAGTATCTGTTGTTAATAGATCATTCAAGATATAAAATGATAAAGGCCACTGAACTAAAATGAGTGCATATTTCACAATCTGTAATTATCGCGTGCACAATTGCAAATGACCCCGTTGGTAGACAAGATTTGACTTCAGCCACCGTGTTCGTATGTATCAGATTCAATTAAGTGGAAAGCAAGTAATAACGTAGCCCTTGAAAATGGCAATCCTTCTTGTCAAGATGGGCGTAGGCGTAGCCCCCCCCCCTCCCGATTCGGTGAACCGTCCATTATTTCTCGGGCAATGTATTTCCGTTTTTCGGGCACAAACATCAGAGAATGAGACCATATATCATATAAATATTATTGTAGAATATTGTAAAATGAAATGACGCTTAGTTTACGTTTTGAATACTATAATACTTACGCCCTCGCGCAATAACATTTGTGGAAAACTCGTTGTAATTTATGATTAATTCATTCTGAAAATTGGCTGTGATGAAGAAATTTTTCGGGCAAATGGCCTCAGCCCCCAATTTAGATTAGCTCCCTATGCTTGTGAAGATGGTTCATCAGTAAATTATAAGACGTACTTATGACAAACTACTCTACTTCAAATTTATTTGGGCGACTTTTGGAAGAGCGTTCTCTCAATGTTATCAAGCTATTCAGAATGAAAGGCAAAATACAAAAAAACTATAACAACAGATCATGAAACCATACATGGCAATAACAAAATCAAAGGACGTGAATTCAATAGGCTGATAATACATAAATGAACTTCCTTAACATACGATTTAGATTTCCATAAATATTTAATAGGCGATTGATGATCCAGTAAAGGAAAGATATCAAATTGAAAGTATAAATAATAAAACCATATAGTTGAATTCTGTCTTTATATACAAGTGCGTTGACTATAGCACGTGTGGCCTCATTCGATGGAATGTTTTAAATGACGATTGTGATGGCTAATGACCAAACACTATTTGACACGGTTTTTTTTTTATCTTTCAAAGATCTAGATCTCTTCTGAGAATTTCGACACAGTTTCTATCACTTTACATTTATCGACAGCTCAACCCTTTCCCTGTCTAAATATGCAATATCCAATCCATAGTTCTAACACTCAAGCATTGGTTCCAGGGTGTATTCGCGGAGAAATAATTAATTCAGGTTTTTTATAACCTTTTTAGTTCGAGAAAACTAACTCATCCGTTGTTGCCAACCATAACGTTTGCTACCAGAAAGGCCATAGAAAGGCTCGAGGTTTGGCATAAGTTGTTTGTAATGGTAATAATATAGTTTACTTAACCAGCAATGGTGACATGTTTGAAAAAATGTCTGTCCATTTATATATATTCCTTTATAATTTTTCAGCTTTTGGTGGACCAAATCAACATCCTTGAAACCATGACACCGTTAGATTTTCTAGAATTTAGGTTTGTAAATGTACATGATGCTTTAATCTGTAAGCTGGACCGATTATTGTACAGCCAATTAAACAAACATCTTGAGGCCCCGACCGTCTCAAAACATTTACATCTCCCAGAAAATATATTTCTTTAAGCACAAGACCCATTTTCATCTAACAGAATAATATATCTTGGTAAAGACTGAAAATAAAGTATTGCTTCATAAAATAACAATACATTAAACAAATCCATTATTACAGTGCAGCAAGTACCTCGTCTGCCGTTTCTATTTCAGTGGGCATTACTTCCTCACTATCAGGTAGTGCCACTGCTCATGGATTTTTTGTATTACAATTGCGGCTACGTTAAAATTTACAGAATGGAGTTTCGAGTTCTAGTTCTCTGCACTAACTGGGCTAATGAAAATGGGCACACGCCATGCAGTGTGCTATCAGGGAAATTTGACCAGATAAGCGGCGCTACAACCGGGCCCGTAGCCAGCTCATAAAATTTGGTGGGGCTACGGAATGTTTTGGAGGGGCTGAGGATGTGGCCGGCTAAGAACGCTTCTAAGAAATATTGGGGGGGGGGGGGGCATAGCCCCCCGTGGCTACGGGCCCGGCTTCAACCTACTCTTCTTCGAATTCCAACTGTCAAGGGTTCTTTTACGCACATTCCAGTGTGTAGACCTTCCGACCTACACAACCGACAAAGGGAACCTGCGCCGCAAAAGTTCAGAGGAATTTTTTCGGCCAACATCGGGACCGAACCCGGGATATCCTGGTTAGCCAGCGTCTTACTCACTGAACCACCGCGCTTCCCTAGAATGTAAACTGAGCTTGGAGTATCTCGGAATGATAAAACGTTTTTTAGCAATAATTGCTATTGATTTATGATCACGAATAGGTAAATATCATTATAAGGTTATCGACTTGCGTTGAAAGAAACACAACTAATGGAACCCATCGTCTCTGACACAGGTGTGTCTCCTTATATTCTTTTACCTGTATCTCATCTATTATATTCTCTGCTCAGGGGCCGTATTCATGAAAACATAAACTAAAATATTTTAAAAGTTCTGTCCTTTCATTGGCCAAGAGCTACAATTTGTAGTAAGATGTTAACTCTCATCCAATGAGATGGCTGCTTCCTTAGTTTAAGATTTCGCGAATAAGGTTCCAGGTGTTTTACATTTTATCATATTCCTTTTCCAGAACAAGTCTGGCCACAGCATCAGGATTTCAAAGTTTGCAGTTTCGTCTCTTTGAAAACAAAATGGGTGTTAAAGAGGTAAGACACACGAAAGTTACACTGTCTGTCTAAAACTCCGCCTGAAAACAGACACAGTTCGACGATTTTAGTCGAAAACACCAAGTATACTTCGTGAAGTTTGAAAACTATTTACTCTGCTTTTATTTAATACAATCGAAAATGTTTTTTTTTATTCTTTGTGTCCATCCAAGATGTAAAATAGATTAGAACGCCATTACAAAATGTTTGAAAATGGCGTCCATTCAGGATAGTGATCTATCCTCAAAGTAGATGGCCCTCTCGGTGCAGAAACAATAATACTTTTGCAATATGTTATGTAAATAGGAAGTGTTATATCTGCATCAAAGAAAGGCATATCATATAAGATAGAAAAGATGCATGCGGATGCTACCAATCAAAACTAGAGTATACAGTCAATCAATACCTCTATTATTAAACTTAATGCGACACATGGAATACGTCATGGCAATCGAAGTCGCGACTTGACCCGTTACTCGGTTTGACGTTTTTCCATATTTATTTTTAAATTAATAAAACAACAACCCTTGTCTTGATGTGTTTGAAAATAAAGTAGTAGTCATACATAATATAACAATTCTAAGTAGATCTAATAGTAATAAGTAAAATATAAAACATATTTTTAAAATTAATACAAGTACAACACCAAATCAAATATTTATACTACTGATAATAAATAGCTGGATTGTTGAGATCCTTTCTAGCAGAGTGGATTCCAAATAGACACTCATTACAAATAAGTATATATACAATCTGTTACAAGAGTTTTGACATTATGAACAACAAGTAATCAGCTGGATTTCATTTGACATTTTGACATAACGTAATAATTTTCTGAAAGTCATTACTTGCACACCGTTGCAGTTTACCCCGTGTAGATTATCTATCGCCATTGACAGTGCTATTTTCTCCCAATTTACAGAATATTCGGACAAACCTAAAGTTTATGTATAACTTTTCTGTGTATACATGATTGTTATCTGCTGTTGTTGATATGGGTACTATGAGCAAATCTCGAAACACTACATCCCTTTCCCTTTAACATTAGAGCACTTTAAACAATCCATCACTTTCCTTTTAACATTACAGCACTTTAAACACTCCACCCGTTTCCCTATAACATTACAGCACTTGAAACACTCCAACCCTTTCCCTATAACATTACACCATTTTAAACACTCCAACCCTTTCCGTTTAACATTCCAGCACTTTAATCATCCCATCACTTTCCTTATAACATTATAGCACTTTAAACAATCCATCACTTTCCCTATAATATTACAGCACTTTAAACGCTCCACTCCTTTCACTATAACATTACAGCACTTTAAACACCACACCCCTTTCCCTATAACATTACAGCACTTTAAACACCCCATCCCTTTCCCTATAAATTTTAGCATTTTAAACACGCCATTGCTTACCCTGTAACATTATTGCACTTTAAACAATCCATATTATGTTCCCCATTAAGATTATAGCTCTTTAAACACTCGACCCCTTTCCCTATAACATTATAGCCAAAAGTACAATTCCTTTCCCTATATTATTATAGCACTTTAAACACTCCACCCCTTTCGCTATAACATTATAGCACTTTAAACACTAGCATATATAAATAGGGAGAGTTAACCCCTTTAAGTTCTTCTACCTGTATACAAGAAATGACAGATGAGATTTTAATGAAAGTAACTGTTATTGGTATTTCATCATTATTGTACTGATCAGTCGCGTATATAAATTGGTTTCTAGGGAATAAATGTTTTATTATCTTTGTAGAATTTGATATCATTCTATTATTTATAAACAAACAAGCCACCAAGAAATTTCCTTGTTTAATATTTGAAGAGAAGTCTATCACGATGATTTCTTTATTAGTTTTCAACAATCACTGCATCTAATTGATTGGCGGTGGGGTTTTTTTTTTTTGGGGGGGGGGGGGGTTAATTTCCTGGTTAAAGTGAATGTCTATTTTTGCATCACACTCTATACAATATTGCACCACGCTTTATCCAAATGAAATAAAAGGGACTTAACGTCCTACTTTCTGCTCGATCCAGTCTAATGAAGACGGTGCCACGGCACGGTCTGTACAATATTGTAGGGGGGGGGGGGTGGATGGCCGAATGGTTAGCACGTGCGCGCTGTATCATAAGGTCTGTCATTGAGTCAACTGGTGTGGTTTTGATTCCCGGTTGTACGTGACAAGGAGTAGGCTTTATCCGGGTCCCCCGGTTTCCTCCCACTGCTAAAGACCTTTACGCGCAAGCGAATTATTGAAATAAAATTGATACATGTGTTAGTCCCGAAATGACCTAGTTTGTGTCGAGTGGACGTTAAACCCCATTTCTCTCTCTCTATGTACAATATTGCACCGCGCCCTCTACCTTATTCGTAGACTTAAAAACAATGACGGGACGTTTATGTTAATATCATATAGGTTATGAGCTAAAAAGAAAACTATAATGGCCATTCGTAGAATTAAAAAATGGCAAGAACGTTTTCAAATATCTATGTCAATGGGGGCGCCCTTTTCTTGATAAAGATAAGTATACACGCATGGACAGACTATTATAGGTCAAAATCATATCGAGTCTTTCAATTGCTTTCATTGGTGTGACACAGGGTTCGTTTCTTGTGTCACTTATTTTTATACGCCTACATTTACATGTGGACGTGTATTGTCGTCGCCCTTGTCCGTCGGTACGTCCGTCAAAAATTTGTTAGTGGACACTCTACAGGTCACAATTTTTATCCGATTTCGACGAAACTTGCAATATAGTTTTTTTCTGCCAAAGATGTCGGTTCTTGTCGAAATTGACATGTATCGGACCGTAAATGCCTGGATTATGGGCCCTGATTGTGAGAAAAATCCCATTTTTAGCTTGGGGACACCCTAGAGGTCACAATTTTTATCCGATCTTGACGAAACTAGAAAAGTATATGTGTATAACCCACAGATCTCGTCTCCCTTCGATATTCGCGCATATCTGAACTAACATCCTGGATTATGGTCCCTGGTTGTACTAAAATCACTTTTATTTGGCTCATTCTCCGTCCATCTCGTGCAAAATGTGGGCGTATCTTGCATGGGAACCACTTGTTCTATTAAATATTGACGATCTTTTAGATTAATCTGTACCCCCAATTAGTCCATTTACGCAAATCTAATGATTCGACTTTAGTTTCCGGCTATTTGGGGTCTGGTTTTATATCAAAATCACTCTTTATCACGTATTTGTTTTACACGCCCACATTAATCTGTTTATACCATTTCAATGTAAACACAAACTCATTACACTAATTGACTTAGCCAGATATTTCTATATGTCAGCAATATTCAGTATCCGCATTTTATATCCGCAAGATAAACTTTATATGAATAAGTCAACAGCAATATTATTTTTTTATCCCCATTTACTATTATTTCATCACCTTCTATTTATTTTTTATGTTTTGTTCGCATTGGGTAACAATATGCACATTGAAAATGACTGTTTAATATATCCCTGTACTTTATTTATTCACGCCTGAGAGTGTCACAGTTTGTTAAGAACCATAGTAATTCCAAAACAAGTACGCCGCCAGCAAGACAAGTCAGATGTTCGAATTCTTAATTGATAATATCTTTGTTGAATTTGGAGGGGAAATATATCAGCAAGTGGTATGTATCCTCATGGGCACCAACTGCGCACTTTTGCTTGCTGATTTGTTTCGGTATTCTTACGAAGCCGTTTGTATACAGGCACTCGTAAAACAAACGATTAGTCAGACGTTTTAATTTCACTTATCGATATATCGATAATGTTCTATGACTGAATAATTCTAAATTTAGTGTTTATTTAGAATTCATATATAAAAACGCTACTGACAGTGACAATTACGCTTCCTACTAATCCTACTTGAACCTGCGGCTCGATGTTGACAATTGCCATAAACTTGGTGTTACATTATAGGATCAACGTGATGACTTTAACTTTCCGATTGTCAGCTCTCCATTTACAAACGTGATGACTTTGACCTTCCGATTGTCAACTTTCCATTCATAAGTAGTAACATTCCACTGACACAAGTTTACGGAGTGTATGTGTCTCAGTTAGTCCGGTACGCGAGAGCTTGTTCTTTTTATGTTGATTGTTTAAGTAGATCGAGACATTTGGAATCTGAACTTCAACTATAGGAATACTTGCCCACTAAAATTAAATAAACGTTTTAAAAGATTTATGGTCGTCATATTGACCTGATTGGTAAATATAACATGTCTCTTATTCTATATATTTTTAATTTGACACGTATACCATTTTCCTGATTATGTCAACGACATCTGTTACTGCTGTTCATCATGTGCATTATGCATACGGCAGTCCACTTGCTGATTACGCTATTTGACCGTGTTATCTTCTGAATGTTTGGATGCCGCCATGATGGGTGTGGCTCCAGGCAGGGTAAGCTTACTCTTCCGGACACTTGTTACCACTGTTCATCAAGTACTTGTACAAGGTAAACAGTCCATTTGCTGATTGCACTTTTTTGCCGATTCCATATTTAGGACTTCAAATTTTTCCTAATTGGTTTGGATTGTTCCTACTTGGTTTTATTTATTTATGAACATTGCTATATTTTGTATATCTTATGGTTTTGATTCGAAAACGCTCTGTGATAATTTTATTGTAAACTTATCTTTTTTGTTTGAACAGTAAATATTATATTGCATGTTTATTTCCATGGACTTAAGCCCTCCATTTATGGTTTGGATTAGAAAACGCTCTTTGTTGCAATTTACTGCAAACTTATCTTTTGTTGTTTAACAGTAGGTATTATATTGGGGTTTATTTCGGTTGGGGTTTATTTCGGTAGACCTAGACTGTCAGTTGCAGATTTATTGTGAAGTTATTTTTTTCTTTTTTGTCTTTTAGTACCTACTATTTCTTGTTTATTTTCATGGAGTTAGATTGTCACTTGTAACAAAATCTACCAGTTTTATTTATTTATGTGCGGTTCAAATGTTATCATGCATGTGCCCTTTACTTCTTTTATTTGGTTGTTTTTTTATATATTCAGGATCAGAGAGTGAAATATAACCAACAACATTATATACGTGTTTTTAATGATCCAGAATCAATTGCAAAACTTAAAGATTCGCTCGATTCTCCTTCATTATTGGCCTTGGTTGAGGTGAGAATATGTTTATGCATTAAAAAATTTAAAATTTAAAAAATAGATGGAAACTATAGTTTTGGCAGTTCGAGAGTTATTTAGAAGATAAACACTTCCTGTTTCGCATTTAGAGGGGTGTTATTGTCCAATGGACATGTCTTGAGATCATTAGGACCCGAGAAATTACTAATAAAAGAAATTACTAAAACAGAGGGATGTTGTTGTCCAATCGACAGAGTCTAATTGACCAATCAAAACGCAAGATTCACCCGTAAGCATGTTAAAATATTATACTTTATACATCAGCCCCACTAAAGTATTTCGAACAGATTAACTGTTTAGCCAAGAAATCGGGTTATACTGTCATTACAGTAAATGAACCAAAATATTTTAAACATTAATCATAGCTATCTTTTGTTATAGGAGAGAGGGGTAACACTCGCTTAGTCAGATACCGTATATTTGAATGAAATTGTGCTTATAAAAAAGAAATTTGCAAAAGATAATAATTATCGCAGAATATCAAAACACCCCAATACCACTTCCGCCTTTATTATGTTATTAATGTCTTTAACAGAGATGGTTAGAAAGAACACCGGGATTAACAGAAGAAGATGGCTTTAATTTCTGGGATATATTTCAACAAGTTGTGAAAAGATGGCAAGATGATTCTTATCTTTATCCTGCTCAGGTAAATCATATTTACTGTTAAACATTACTGGCTACGTCGCATCTCTGTAGCCTAGTTAGTAGGCCCACGATCTGTATTCAATGAAGAGTCACGGAGGCTAAGTTGATAAGACGCTGGCTCGCTAGCCTGGAGATCGCATGTTCGATCCCTGTATTGGCCGAGAAGGTTCATCGGGGTTTTACGGTATGGTTTCTCCTTGTCAGTGGTGCAGGACGGCGGGCCTGCCAAAGAAAGCTATCTAGTCCTTCGGATGGGACGAAAAACCGAGGTCCCGTGTATACATACATTGGGGTGTGCGTAAAAGATCCCTTGGCAGTTGGAATTTGATAGGCCATAGTGCCGCAGTCCGAGCAAAACAGTAGGGGCGTTAAACCCCATTTCATTTCATTCCATTTTTGTGTTTGTAGACTGAAGAAGATGAAGACGTGAAAGCCGGTTATTTAATGGACTATAATAAAGCCAGGGTAAGTACGTTGCTATGGTGTAATTAGTGTCAAGTTTACATTAATTAATTGTTCGATTTATTAGGTTCGAAAGAGATAAAATTTTTAAACGAAATAAAACGGAATTATATATACATAGAGGATATTTGTCGTTTTAGAGTGAATAACATATGCGTAGCATGAGTGAAAATATAAACGTTTTCTTGCTTAGAGATGAAATAAAATATGTTATTCACGACAAAACGACAAATGTTCTATTTATTTTATGATTTTACAATCATTTTAGGTAAAAACAACTAGCCAGTGGAATAACATTTTTATTTCACTGATAAAACGCGGTATTCCACTACTGATCATAAAATAAATGTTATTATTTTTCATTGCACTGTATAGAGGCTGAAATCAATTACGTTTTTTTATATTGCCTTGATGGTGAATTGAATATCTGCTATATAACCCATACTGACTAACCGCGAGGTCAATTTATTCAAAATATAAACTTGGAAAATGCATCCCGATATACATCTGGAATGTATATTTAAAAAGTGGGTTATTCGTCCATCCCTCTAAACAGATTTTGACATGTAAGCATGATATTTGTATTCAAAACAAAACACAAAAAAAAGGTATATATGGATATAGCTACTTCTCTGTTATTCAATAACAACGTTTCATAACACATACAAGTTACCTTTTCAAGTATTTAGACACAAACTACTTAATAAGTTCACTATAATTTAAGGTACCTAATTGTAACTACTGAGTCTGTCGCTGCTTCGTCCATTTCATGCATTTGTCGGCTTTCAAATATAGCCGTTATGGAGATGACGATAAAATTCCCAGACTATAAAAAAAAAAGCTTTACTCAAAGGTATCACAGAAGGTCTATTGCTTTTAAGCAAACTTATTAGTCGAGTAATTTAGATAGTTTTTCATGTATGTCGATAGAAATAACTGTATCTTTAAAATTCAACTCAGTTTAAAATACAGTAACACAGTTTTGGATGTTTCTATAAACAGTTTGATTAATCGTTATTATTTTATTTTCTAATTGACAGGAAACGTTTGATTCTTTGTTTGACATTGACAAGTATAATGCTCAAAGAGAAAGAGGTAAAACAACTATATTTATATTTTCAAACGTTGGTTTATTAATGGATGTTATCTTTGAAACTGCATGGATCTATAGTGTATCTAAGTATATTGAAAGTCGTTATATAAACTTTGAAACTGCATGGATCTATAGTGTATCTATTTAAATTGAAAGTCGTTAATATAATTTGCTAATGTTTTCAAGCAGTTGAACTAAAAATTTATTTCATATTTGATTGATTTGATACACCCCTAATAAAGACACATTATGTCTAGCTACTAGCTATCTATTTAATATATCTAAAAGAGAGATGGTTGTGGGGGGGGGGGGGGTAACAACGTCCACTCGACAGATAAGATAAGATAAGATAAGATTTTATTGTATCATTGCATCCACCAAGGACAGCATACACAGTTTAAACAAAAGTTGATCATACAATTGTAACATAACATCTGGGGTAATCCTTTATGGATGTACAATGTGATATAACAAGTCTATAAGCATTAAAAGATGGTCGGTATAATGTGAATCAGTATAGAGCTAAAACGAAAATTATCTAAACTAGCCTGAAAAATAAACAAACTATTTCTACCGTAAGTATTAGTATAATAAACATATTATATTGAACTGGGGTGTTGGTTAACAGGTAACTCTGATGCTCTTTCTTGGAGACACTTATATATATATGAAGCAACCTGACTGGCAATTTCGTTTGGGGGATTTAAAACATTAATCATATTGCACGAGATGTGCGGATTGCTTTTGAAAATTGGCGTAAATTTTGAATTTCTAAGATTGTTATATTTATTACAGTCAAATATGAAATGATATTCGTCTTCTATTTCATTATTATTACATTGATTACATAAACGTGCATGTGGCGGAATATTTTTATACAGACCACGCTCTATCTCGAGATGGTGTGTGCTAAGCCTAATCGAAGTCAACGCAATTTTATGGGCCTTCATGTGGTTCAATTTTTAATTCAATAATTCGCTTGGACGTAGGGATAATTTATCCAATAAAATTGTCGGGTATATTGCGCAGTAGCGAACTTTCACATTTTAGAGATAAATGTTCGTTGGGTTTGAACTCAACCAGGTAGTCAACAATTTGTGATCAGATTAATATTAGTAGTAACACTGCCACTATCTACATATCCCCAACAACATCTAAGTAAAATTATGCGACCTGTAATGAAAAGTTTCTTAAATCCTATAGCTGATAAAGAAAGACAATTAGATGATTCTGGTGGAGCTGGTAGACCTATTATTGGATTAGTTCCATGCTTCTTAGATCAGACTAAATCCTTTAATTAATCCGTTTTATTTTATTATTAGGTGAAAGAAGACTAAGTCACAAAGCCTTTCAGGGAGCTCTTCTTATTTCCTTGTACCGTGATGAACCACGCTTTAACCAACCTTTCCAAGTTTTAACCTTATTGATGGACATCGACTCATTAATTACAAAATGGAGATGTGAGTAAGACAAACAAAACGTCAATCAAGTCTTTATTTATAATCTATACTCATTGTTTTGTCTGCTTGGAAAAGAAAATGGGCCGTTAGGAAACAAATATACGAGATTTGCATTGTTGACAGAAAAACAAAATGGCGGCTATTATTGACTTTTAAATGAAATAAGACATTTATTAGAACACATAATTAATCGATAGTATTGATGCAGCACAAAGAAATATAGATGCAATTAGAATTGACATAGAATGTTTCCTTTGTTAGAGTAACGCAATACAATAATAAGTGTTATAATTAATATATGAATGGGACGAATCGCACCAAGCAAACCAAATCCAGACAAAAGATTCAAATACAGAAACATATTTTTAATCATCAATTATTATGTCAACTTGAACTCATTAAATCTTATTTCTATCCATTTAAATTTTATTTAAGGGTTTAGGGCATATTATCAAAATATCAGTTCGTCTATTTAAAGAATTAGTAACTGACATAACTTTCTGAATGCATTTATTTTATGGGTTATATCAATCTGATTAAAACACAGATCATATTTCGTTTTATTTTTAATAGTTCAAAATTTCGTTTTACTTGTCTTTACTACACTAGGATCTGGAAGAGTTGTTACATAACCCGTGTTCTGGTTGATGTGAGGGATTTGCCAGTGAAACCATCTGTTACGGCGAGTTCTTGGCGTAAGGTGCAAGTAACTGTTGGTATCCCACTAGAAACATTAACGCTGATCGGTCAATCAAATGTCTGACGTTAGAGGGTCAAAGCCGCTCGTATGACCACAGACGCGACCTTCCCCTACAACCGGCCAGATCTTCATGTAGTGGAGGTCATTGAAAGTATAAAAAATGAATGAAATATAGATGTGTGTTTTTAATCAGATTGTAGTTATATCTAATTAATTGTTACATGTAGATAACCACGTGTTAATGGTGCAGAGAATGATTGGTAGCAAGATTGGAACTGGTGGGTCGTCTGGATATCAGTATCTACGATCAACAATAAGGTATTTGTAGATTGTTTCTGTTACTGGGTTTTCTTTTGTATTAAAGGGACTTCGTGGGGAGGGGGGGTAGAGGTTTAGGGTGTCGCGCTTCTTGGTGTGGCCGTTTATGGACTGGAGATAGGGACGACTTGTTTATTCCTGGTACTCATTTATTTTCCCACAAGAAAGACCCCCGTGCTTGCGCTAAAATGATAAAAATAAATCAGTTTGTCTGCGGAAATGAAATGAAATGAAATGAAATGAAATGGGGTTTAACGTTCTACTGTTCTGCTCCTATACTGGGCTAATGAAGACGGGCATATGTGAAAGCGGATGTTAAACACTAATAGAAAAAGAAGAAGAAAAAGAAGATATCTCACCATTGTTTCCTCTCTCTCCACAGTACAACGAAAAATTCACTCTTTCATACTTGACACCAACTTTACAACTTGCCACTCAGGTTTGAAAATAAATTAAGTCGGGGTAATTGACTAGAATAGACCAAACTTAGAATTAATACCAGTGATGTTTTCTCGGTTATTTAAACTCAAGGACCAATCTGATATTGACAAAGTACTCAACGATAGAGGTTCTTAACGAAAATGTACTATAGATGAAACAATGACATCTCCAGGGCAAGGTACGCGCATTTAATATAACTGAAATATCTGGAAATATCCCTTTAAATATGAACAAATCTTTAGAGTAAATCGAAACATCGGTTATCCATTATTGTGCATGATTTCATACTTAAGGGAATACCCGCTTTATATATGTATTTACGGTTGATGTATTTTACCTAAGAGTATACATGTAATTATTTCATAACATTTGTATTTTTTGTTATCCTTCAATCAGCTCTTGACTTAAATTATTATCTAAACATGTTCTTCAATTAAAATGTACCGTTTCACGTAATTCATTTAAGGAATTGCATTTTTCAATTAATAATTGAATGGGAGACTTGATTATCTCGAAGATCATTTACTACTATAACTGTAAAGCAAACATTCCACATGAAATAAAATGAAACGGGGTTTAACCTGGGCTAATGAAAACAGGCATACGCCCTGTAGTGTTTTATGACGGAAACTGTGTCTGCCTATTCTTATTTCGAATACCAACCGTCAGGGGCTCTTTTACGTGCACACCATGTGTACACGGAACCTGGGATGTTTGCACTCATCCGAACGACTAGTCGCCGATCCTTGCAAGGCCTTCCATCTTTCACCGCTGACAAGGAGACACCACGTCGAAAAACCAGAGAACACCTGGAACGAACCCGAGAACTCGTGGTTAGCAAGCCAGTGCTTTATTCATCGAGCCACACCGACTCCAAAATTCCATATGGACTGTATGATAAACACAGACGATTACACTAAGGTGTCTAATCAGAATATATTTTGGAACGCTATATTATATACTCTTTAAAAAAAAGTAGGGGATATTCAGAAACAATACAAAACTGCGGAAATACGCTGCTGTTTTTATTAGAGGTAACCAGTGTATGTTAATAACAGGCCAATTTCCTACACATGAACATAAACAGTTCATATGGGCGACTTATCTGACGGTCCCATTTCACTCGCAAAGAGATACACCGTCAAAAGTGAAAATGGATGTTTTTGATTTTTGTCTTAATAATGAGTAATTGCTCCACCACTCCCCAGACATTCAGCAATTCGTCATGGCATGCTCCTAAGCAACCGTCCAATCACAATTTGGAGCAATCTGACCTACTCCTCTTGCAGTGCCACGGACAATTCTTGCAGTGTTGTCGGTTAACGTTGACGTCGACGAATACGTCTCCCTATCAAATGAAACGTAACACACTAAAGCAAAGATACGCTAAACAGTAAATTTTATGCAAGAACCGATAGGAAAGCAAACATGGATAGATAAACCAGCACGCGGCAGTTTTCATCAACCCTTCCTTGAAGTGTCAAATTTGACAATGACCCCCCCCCCCCCACGTTTATCGCGATATTGCGTGTCGCATGTGCAGCTCAGTGGTTCTGTTGGGGCGATAAGTTCTTCATCTGCGAACATACTCTCAAAGCATGTCAAGTGTCCATGACTATTCACAAACTGCATAGTTATTTGCATTTCAATATCCCCCACTTTTTTTGAAGAGTATATATTACATTTACCCAGACAGTGCACTTAGAAGGAAATATATAAAATTCAGATTCCGGGATTCAAAGAAATAGTTCATAAGACTCGGAAATTGTTGTCATTGAGATAATCTTAGAGCTTTTTAAAAATACAAATTATCAAAATGTCCTTTGAAAACTATTTCCCAAAATAACCAGAACGTGAAAGTACACTGGTCACGATGTACTGAATATTTAGATTAATTGTAACGATATTGGATGTAAGATTATCAATTATTCTGGCATCTGATGCGTGGGGATGCTTTGTATTTAATCCTCTGAAGACGAAATCAGAAAAGATACTGTTTATTTCATAAAAAAAATTTCCAATTACTAAATCATTTTTAAATGACGTGCAGTTGATGATGAAAACCATTTTTCTGAACATTGGCATTTAATATTTAAAATGTATGTTTATAGTTTTTCGACTAATATATTCTTTTTTTAAAAGAGTTTTCATTTCTCTTTGTTGTGAGTGCAGAATAGAGGGATGCTAAACTCCATTTCATTTCTTTGATCTGGATCAAAAATAAAATTATCGTTTTTATTGGTTTGTTTGCAGGTATAACCTTCTTCGTCCGTCCTCATTAGCCTAATCGGTGCAGAAAAGTAGGACGACGTTAAACACCATTTCATTTACTTCATTTTATGTCACTGATTTTGTTCAAAATTTTACGTAATGTGTCTCTGGTAAGCCAAAAGGATGCTATCTATTTAAAATAGCAAATCTTGTTGATTTAGGTTGAAATACATTTGGTTAATCTGATGTATTATGACCATAAGTGATAGGATCATCTCTATAAGATGACAAGTTAAATAGCTAAATCTTTAACTCAGTGTTTTCTATAATATTCTGTTAAATGTCAACGTTGCCTTTATCGATTATATTTTTTAACGAATACAAATTTTGGGTTGTTTTCTAATTTTAGTTTTAATTGAAAAAAAAAATAATTGTTCACTTTATTTTGATCAAAGCGGTTTATCCCCTTTAACACATCCATAATAGCAATTAAAAAAACTATACCTTCTTTGTACAGAATTCTGAAACCAGCCATTATGTACGATTCCCCCGCATGGCATTTGATCATGTGAGAGTTTAGTACAACAGAAAAAAAATAACAACAAAATAATTAGGTTGGAACATTTGATTTTATTCATTTTGTACTTACAAATATAGATTCGATTGTAGGTATTTGTACTTAATTAATATAAATTAAATATATATTGGAGTTCGTTTCTTTGTATTTGAACATAATTAGTATAAAGTTAAATTGGAGTTTTGAATGTATAGTTTTGTTTCTTTGTATTTTCAGTGATCGTTATAAGATATTTTTGGATTTATTTAATTTATCGACATATATTATTCCTCGAGCCTACATACCGCCTATGAATAACAGAATGAAAAGAAGGCTGAGTGTGCTCTCGGTAGAAGAGATGATCAAGTTCGGAAAACAAAATGGCTCCAAAACAGACCTCTCAAAACAAAATGACTCCCAAACTGATGTCGCTAGACTGACCAATGAAATGAAAAACAAGTTAGCTATGAAGGAAGTCGATGATGAAAATGCGAGTGATGAAAAAGTGAAATTTGAAATATGAAAACGTGCAAAAAAGCATCTGAAAATGGGATAAGGACTAATAAATTATTGTAAATAGTTGTATATAAACAATTTATATGAATAATTTTAACGCAATCTGATTAAAACACAGATCCTATTTCGTTTAATTTTTATAGTTCACAATTTCGTTTTAATTGTCTTTACTACACTAGGATCTGGAAGAGTTGTTATATAACCCGCGTTCTGAGGGATGGGCCAATAAAACGGTCTGTTGCTGTGTGTTCTTGGTGTGCGATGCACGTAACTGTCGGTATCCTACTAGAAATATTAACGCTGATTGGTTAATCAAATGTCTGACGTCATAGGTCAAAAGCCGCTCGTATGACCCCTGATGCGACCTCTCATGTAGTAGAGGCCATCGAAAGTGTTAAAAAACGAAACGAAATACAGATCTGTATTTTTATCAAATTAGATGTTAACGGGAAGTGCAAACTTATTGGGCTTATTTTCTAATCCTATTTCAATATTCACATAGTATAAACATACAATATATAAATCTGATTATGGAAAATAAACATATGCTATTAAAACTTAAAATGTTCAAATATGTAGGGGAGAGGGCGGGGGATAGTTGTGCCACTTGACACAAAAATTACCATGGAGTCCAAATTACATGTAGTCATAATTTGTGGCAAAACTATTTTTAAACATACATTATGCAAAAGCTAAATCTGGCTATTGCAAGAATTCTTTAGGCCTGAAATGTTATCTAAATTATTAATTAGACATTAATTAACTTATCCAGACCATAATCAACTCTCGATGTCATCGCTAGCCAGCGATGTTTATTGGATTAGGTTCCGATTTGTTGTTCGACTTCCATTCATAATTTACTCATGAAATGGATAATCGAGACTATGTTTTTATCGTACCGACTTTAGTAATGATGTTTAATCAGCGGGATAAGTTGTGTCAAGGCTCAACTTGCCCGTTCTCACCATCTTCACATATCAAAACCAATCCAAACCAGTATGCTAGAATTCCAACCATCAATAGTGGATATCATTTGCCAATTTGTCTCTCAATGAAGTCGACACGGTTAATGAACGAGAAAACAACAAACCTATATAAATCTGATACTTCCACACAGCGGGGTTTGAAGTATGGGACTTTAAAACTGTGTTTATGCAGGTTGGGATGGGGTGATGGACTGTGGCGGTAGAGTAAATATCTGGCAATTTTATAAATGCAGAAGCTGTAAACCACCATTTCTGCTCATTCAGTTGCATACATGTATTGGATTAGAGTGTGTGAGACCAAAATGGCACCAATTCTTTGTTTGTTCCACGTTTTTTCGATGAATGTACGGACCCCGACAACTCCCAGTTTGGACACGCGCCTGGGATGGGGATATTAGTGGTAGTTGGGCTATGAATTGGCATCCGTGTTATCATTTGGATAAAGCTCACCAATTATTCCTCACCAATGAAGGGCAAAAGATGTTTTTAGTTTCTCTCCCCCCCCCCTTTTGCATGACAATTTTCATTGAGGTTTTGGTGTAGATTCGAAGAAAGGGGTTTGAAAATACATTTTTTGCCAGGTTTTGGTGAATATTCATGATTTTGAGGCGGAAGGATTCGGGAATTCGAGGTTGGTTAGGTTGAAATATAGGACTCAAAATTGCAAGTTTAATAGTCTTTAAGTCCAGTTTGTGTATTCAGTTTTCCCTGGTGAACCTCATACTTGCTTTTGAGCAAGAGGTTAATTGCCACATGTTGCTCAATCTGTGGTGGAAGGCGTTCTACCCAACGAAAATTGGGGGAAAAGTTAGAGCCGGTTTAAGAGACGAGAATTAACATTAAAGTCAATGGGGAAATCATTGGTGATCTGAGGCCATTTACTGCGCTTTCAATTTGAATGTAATCTCCCTTTGAGTTGACTTTTAATGCCATTAATACTAATAATCTAGTTTATTTTCCTCATTTTAAAGGCACGTTAGAAGATCAGAAAGAATAATAAATTATCTGAAGATTTTATGAAGTTTATATGTACTGATTCTTTCTGTTTGCGGGGGGAGGGGGCGAATGGTTAGCACGTGCGCGTTGTATAATAATGTCTGTCATTGAGTCAACTGACATTTATTTTCTCTGTAACAGTAATGATGGGTTTTCTGTGTGTTCCCACTATCTGACGTGCTGTCTCAGATGCCTGTGTGAAGGGATTCTGCACGTGCTGTCGCAAAACATGGCGGTCTTGTCGCCTATTCAATTTATAAATACAAGGAAGTATATTTCCAAGTGTAGGTCCAATATCCAAGTCCATGTAGAATAGGTTAATTCAAGTTCGATTTTATGAAACATGATATGAGGCATGTAGGTAATTGTTAGTTCTCGTTAGATGTTAATGTTGATAATATGGTACACTTGATTTGACATTCACTTAATTCTATTGGAGTCACTGAATTATTAACATTCTACAATATATTATGTTTTGATCAGGACAGCTCTTTTATTAAGACTGATTATAAATATATAGAGGATATTTGTCGTTTTAGAGTGAATAACATATTTTATTTCATCGAGAAGCAAGAAAACTTATATTTTCACGAATGCGTAGCATGAGTGAAAATATAAACGTTTTCTTGCTTAGAGATGAAATAAAATATGTTATTCACGACAAAACGACAAATGTTCTATTTATTTTATGATTTTACAATCATTTTAGGTAAAAACAACTAGCCAGTGGAATAACACTTTTATTTCACTGATGAAACGCGGTATTCCACTGCTGATCATATAATAAATTCTATTATTGATACGGAATGTGATAGTATATAGTATGTTTAGTATATAGAATTTTGATCAAATGAGGTAAGTTAACAATGATGGCCCTTTTATATAGGTGTTCAAAAATCTCTTTCATTTTCATTCTGCATTATTTATTAACTTATACAAAACAAAAGTTTTGATACAGTCTCAAGCCATACATTTACGTCAAAATCCAAGTGTATGGGAATAACATACGTCATTTACAATACAAAACGTGTTTCAAATTACTTGATAGATCTTAAATTATTAAGGAGGGGGGTGTGTAGGTATTAATGCTATTCTGTGTCAGTTTTTAAATCCAAAGTGAAAACTTGGTTATTTAGCCACCATCATTAACAATCCAAAGTGAGAATATTTTATTTTTTGGTGTCTAACGCATCCCCAAGTAGATTGAATATTATCATAAATGAACGCTGAAATTAAATATGGCATGCTTATGATTCATTTAAATTAATATAACAAATGGGGTGAAATGGAGTTTAACGTCATACTTTACTGGGCTAATAAAGACAGATACGTCATACTGTGTGCTATGAGGGAAATTTTGCCCTGCCCGGACAGCTGCGCCAAGACCTACTCTTATACATCGAATAATGGGTTCATTAACGTTCACGCCAACAAGTACACGGGATCATTATGTTTCGTCCCATCCGAATGACTAGACATTGCCTTTAACACTAACAATAGAAACCACGCTGGAAAATGCCGGGGAAGTTTCTCGACCAACAAACACCGGGATCGAATCCCGGGCTTACCCCAAGTTTTTTCTTTTAATTATATAACCATTATATATTATATCTTTTCCCTAAAATACAGAACGTGACAAGGAGTAGGGTCGCCTGTTTAACCTCGTTGGTTTTCTTCAGGTCCTCCGGTTTCCTCCTACTGCTAAAGACCCCTACGCGCAAGCGAATTATTGAAATAAAATTGAACCATGTGTTAGTCCCGAAATGACCTAGTTTGTGTCGAGTGGACGTTAAACCCCATATCTCTATCCATCTCTCTCTCTCCAAAATACAGAACAATATGTTTTAGTAACTTCTTTAATTACATAATAACATAAATACAATATACATAATGCAACAATTGCAAACCATTTACATTCATTCTAAAAGACCCAGCTTTACCCTTTCTGAGAGTAGTCAAAAACAGTGGTGTTTTACGAAGGACTTATATACTATTCAAAAAAAGTAGGGGATATTTGATTTTGGGGGCATAATACTAAAATATGCAAATGACTACGAAAAACGTCACTATAGAACCTAACAGAAGAAACATTTCCAGTTACATGTGACGCCCAAACGCACCAATAGCTACCGCATGGAATGCATGTGATGCTTGGGATCATCATGGGGGTCCAACCCAAGATTTGCACGACTCTGACTTTGAATGTTACAGTCATTGTGGCATTGAATTCCAGGGTGGAAACATCAGTTTAATTGTTTTAGTGACCAGAAAACAAATTTTGATATGCGTCGGCTTACCCAAAATGAAAGGTTACGTGCCCTTGGCATGCTACAGATCGGCACAACACAGGCGGTTGTGGCGCGGACGATGAATGTTTCTCAGTCTGTCATAAGCAGGCTATGGTCCAGATACCGTGATACACAATCTGTACAGGACAGACCACGCTCAGGTCGACCAAGGGCGACAACTCAAGCCCAGGGTCGATTTATCCGTACCTTGGCCTTGAGAAATCGTGTCATCACAGCAAATCAGATCAGCGCTCGTCTTCAAACAGACACTGGTGTGAGAATGAGTGGCCAGACGATTCGGAATCGACTGCATAGGGGTCACCTTCGCGCCCGACGTCCTCGCGTGATCCCTTGTTTGAGAGATCATCACATTCAGGCAAGACGTCGTTGGTGTAGGGATCGTCAACACTGGGATAATCGACGCTGGAGCAATGTGATGTTTTCAGATGAGTCAAGGTTCACTGTTGATTTTTTGGACAGACGTAGGAGGGTGTGGCTTCGTCGAAACGAGCGCTTCCAAGACGTTAACGTCATCAGACATGATCGATTTGGGGGTGGTTCTGTTATGGTGTGGGGAGGCATCACTGTTGCTGGAAGAACGGCTTTACATGTTGTTGCAGGGCGTGTTACAGGCCAGTACTACCGGGACAACATCTTGGCAGTCCATGTTGTGCCGTTCGCACGACGTCATGGCCGCCGTTTCATCTTCCAGGATGACAACGCAAGATGTCACAGGGCCAGGATCGTTACAGGTTACCTCCAACAACAGAACATCACCACATTACCTTGGCCAGCACTGAGTCCCGACCTCTCCCCCATCGAGCATGTCTGGGACATGCTTGGACAGAGGTTACGTCAACGTCAACAACGTCCTGCCAATGTCCAAGAACTTGCTGCTGCGTTGCAACAGGAATGGGACAATCTGGACCAAAATGACCATAGGCGTCTCATTAGGAGTATGCCACGTCGGATCAATGCTTGTTTGGCAAACAGAGGAGGATTTACCCGTTACTGACTTGGTTGTGATGCTGTGGTAACTTTGCTGTTTGACCACGGGTATCATTTTACCCTTATAATGGTCAGTCTGTGCCTTACTTAGTCTAACGATCATTTGGAATAAATCGATGAATGTGAACTTCATTTCATTTTGTCATTTGTTTCTTCGTCAGTTTCATTAGGTGACTTTAATAACACTTAAAAATCAAATATCCCCTACTTTTTTTGAATAGTATATAA